AAATGTACACAGCTAAAAAATTACAGCTTAAGGGCTTGAAGTGTTGCCAAATATGGGCATCAAACCTTTTTAAAAGCAGCGGTGAGTAGGGCACAATCCATCTGTTGTCGATATCAACAACTGCGTTTTATTGTGGTTATGTATCCACCTTCATATTGCTTTCTGCGCTTATGTAGACGATATCCATTGCGTCCCGTTTGAGTTTCATGGATCAGCTCACGTGGATATCGCTTTGTACCCTTACCATCTTTCATAAATGGGGAATTCAGGTTAAGTCCACCGCAAGGTCGGTGGATCATGTGCTTCCGTACAGTTTCAAATAGAATTGGATTTTCTATGGGATTTGGTAGCTCGGCGGAAATCACATCATCAATTTTCGTTAGCAAAATTTTTTCTTTTAGCCAGGTTAAAATATGAGCGTGTGGTAAGCCTCGTCTAATGTCTTTCTATGTTGGATTGCACGTGAAAGTAATGAAGAGATCTGATCGTCCGTACTTGCGCACGTAAGTCTTAGCATCTTGGGCGTACTCTTTCATATGTCGAGGCCTGCTTTCATTGATTCAACCGAATAAAAAGAAGACGTTCACTTTCAATTTTTGCGTACATTTCGACCATGAATTGATGTAATAATTCACATAAAAATGTATTCATAAGGATGATGACTCATTATTTACATTTAAATTTACTTCCTTCATCTTACCACGTGGAAAAATCATATGATCGTCGCTCGAATTCTGTTCCATAACCACTGCAACGTCGGCTTTTACCGGTGCATTGAATTGCCGCTTAGGCTGCACGGGTGGTGGTTTGTCTGCTCTTATCACAATATTTTAACCATCTGTCGACATCTGGTCTAGAGCTGTTTTGAATGAACGGATAAGGCTGTAGTGATCATGACCGGGAACAGGGATGGGACGTCATGAATTATACTTTCGCAAGTTTTGAAAAAAATGTTTGGAAGTTGGAGTGCGCTTAGAAATACACAAACAGAAGTGGTTCAGGTTTCATCAATGGTGACAAATTAACTTTACCGTTCGAACAGCACAATCCAGAGGATTCTTTCGCGAACTTCAAGGCACCCCAATGTGAACAAACTTTGTTCACTTCACCGATGACTACGTTCTTGTGCTTTCTGTAATCGTCATCCTTGTTGTAGTTGAACGCCGCAAGTCTTATTCTTTTTCGTTATTGAGTCATTTGGTTACGATTAGCGTCAAGTCGTACATTTTTGAATTGTCTCAGTAGCTCGTGATGAAGATTCTTTGTCACGATTTTGTTGATGCCGTGATTCACGCTCTTCTTCAGTTTCCATATTTCTTCTTGTAGATATTCTGTTACGATTTGTCCCAAGGCGTAACTCACGTTCCTCAGCTGTTTCGTTTGATCCTTTTTCCTTAACTTTCTTTGATTTGGGGGTTTTTTTAACAATACTTTTTTTTTGTTTGGTGTCATTTTTTATTTATTACAATGATTCTGCGAAGAAACATGAATGGTGAAGAAAATACAATTTTCCGTTGTAAAAATCAATTTAAAACATATCAGTAAACGAATACATTCGCGGGGCTACAACTTACCTTAAATTTTTAAAAATCGTGAATTGTTTACTTATATTATATAATAAAGTTATTATACTTCTTTATACTTCAATATACTCCATTGTACTTCAATATGTGTCACAATGACAAATATATCCACAACGCATGTGTCAACACAATTTGGGTTATAAAACAGGAGAATATCATCATAGTAAATAAAGACTGTATTTGACAGTTGAAAAACTTTACAAGATTACTCTTCAGGTCAATGTAGAAATTTCCTGAAAGTTTCACTGAAATCGGTCTAGCCGTTTTGGACCCTACCCGGAACATATACACACACCTTCACGTTTATACAAGGAGCATTCCAAATTAAACAGTAAAAAAGTAACAAAGTAAACTCTAGTGGCGCCATCTATATGCCGAGTAGTGCCATAGAATCTGCTATCCTTTATCGACTTCCAGTAAAAACTTCATGACATTTCACCTATTGGAAGTGAATTTATTGCGTTTTAATAGTTTAATATTAGGTCAAGTAAAACCTTCGTTCGGTTCGTGAAAACGTGTTTATTCGCGCTAAAAGTTTGTCTTTGACAGATTGATTGACTTGATTTTTCTTCGATCAAAGCGAAAAAGCAGCCACAGCGGCTGAAAACATTAATTAATTTATGGGCCCGATACTGTAAACGAACGTGTAGCACAAAAGTGATTTGCTAGGTTCCGTTCCGGTAATTTCGATGTCAAAGATGCACCACGCGTCGGGAGGCCTGTCGCCGAAAATTGCGATAAAATCATGGAAATAGTAGAAACAGACCGTCACGTGAGCAGTTATTTAATTGGTGAGGAACTAAAGATAAGCCAGAAAACCGTTTGGAACCATTTGCAAACGGTCGTGGTCGAAGCTCGGGGAAGCGGCCCAGATGGTGGCCAAGACCTGATTGACGGCCAGGAAGGTTTTTCTGTGTGTTTGGTGGGATGGGCAAGGAATCATCTACTGCGAGCTGCTCCCCTATGGCCAAGCGCTCAATTCGGCCCTCTACTGCCAACAACTGGACCGCTTGAAGGCAGCACTCATCCAGAAGAGTTCATCTTTGTTCAACAGAGGCCGAATTGTGTTCCATGAGGACAACGCCAGGCCACACACGTCTTTGGTGACTCTCCAGAAGCTCCTGGAGCTCGGATGGGAGGTTCTAATGCACCCACCTTATAGTCCGGACCTGGCACGAAGTGATTACCATCTTTTCCTGTCCATGGCGAACGCGCTTAATGGTGAGAAGTTGGCCTCAAGAGAGGCCTGTGAAAATTGGCTCTCCGAGTTTTTTGGCAATAGGGACGCAGTCTTCTACGAGAGAGTATAATGAAGTTAGCATCTCGTTGGCAACACGTTTACGAACAAAACAGCGCACATTTGACTTAAATCGGACCAATGTACACAAAGTTATCATCTTTTGAAAAATCAATAAAAAACCGAACGAACTTTTTACTTTACCTAATATTACCCAATGTTGAGTATGGTATAAAAATCTAGGTATAATATATGCCGTATGTATGTATAAACTGCGTTTCTATATTTTTGCAATAGAAAGCGAGCGCGAAAAGGAAATTGATAATGTACAGGTATTCTCCGTATGTACATATATGTATGCATGTAAATTTGTAATTTTATATAAATATAGCAAATAATTATGTTTACTATGGATGGAATGTATATTTATGCACAATGTGTGTGCATATATGGTATCGGCAAATTAAAGCCATTGCGTAAAATTACTGATCGGATTTTTTTTATTAAGTTTTTTTTTTTACAGTTTTTATAAGGGTAAACTGTAGTTTTCGGTATACATAAGTGCATATTAAATGAAACAATAAGTGGAATCAATACGACAAGGGTTTTAAAGGAAATGTGATGTGTATGTTGGCCGGAACCAGTTACCACCATGACCACTCAGATTGAGGAAATCTCAAACGAATACCTCAATTCACAATTGAAAAAATATTGGGATTTAGAAGAACTCCCTCCCATATCAATCACAACCCCTGAAGATCAGTATTGTGAAGACTTTTACAAAGCCACAACTACTAGATCAGATAATGGTCGGTATGTCGTACGACTACCACTAAAACAACAATTTCCTAACACACTCGCCCTAGGTCACTCTCGCACCTCTGCAATACAGCAGTTTTTAAGTATGGAAAAAAACTTACTTAAAAAAGGTGAGCTTAAGCCAGAATACGATGGCGTGTTAGAAGAATATCTCCATTTAGACCAAATGGAGGAAGTAAGCCCATGCGAAAAAATCACAAATGGCAAATATTACTCATTTTACTTGCCTCATCACGCAGTAGTAAAGCCAGACAAAAAAACAACTAAAGTAAGAGTTGTTTTTAATGCATCAAGATCTACTAGCTCGGGGAATTCCCTAAATGATATTATATTTACGGGACCCACGCTCCAACCAGATTTAATGCTACTAATTTTAAATTGGCGTATATTCAAATACGTATTTAACGGAGATGTCGAAAAAATGTATAGACAAATAGTCGTACATAAAGATGATCAAGATTTTCAGCGAATTATTTTCCGAAAATCTCCCAATAGTCCACTCCGCGACTATAAATTGAAAACAGTTACCTTTGGCGTCAACTGTGCCCCATATTTAGCCATTCGAACACTGCACGAATTGGCAGAAAACACCAAGTCAGAGTTTCCTCTGGCAACCCAGGTGTTAAAAACACAAACGTATGTAGACGATATTCTGTCTGGAAGTCACAGTCTTCCACAAGCATACGAGTCACTAGCACAAGTGACACAAGCCCTCAAAACCGCAGGGTTTCCGTTAAAAAAGATAACGGCGAACCACCCTAATATCTTAAAGAACATACCTAAAGAAAATCTGTTGGACACTAAATTTCCTTAAATTCGAAAAGGAAAGTACAACAAAAACTCTGGGGATCCAATGGAATGCGATATCTGACCAGTTTTCATACACTACAGAGTCAATATCAGCATTATCCGCCATAACAAAACACCAAATTTTATCCTCTGTGGCAAAACTTTTCGACCCCGCAGGATGGCTTTCGCCAATTATGATACAAGCGAAAATCTTGATACAAGAATTATGGCTAGACGGAACCGACTGGGACGAACAAGTGAAACCTCTTCGCTTAGAAAAATGGTCCCAGTTTGCAAACAATCTGAAAGACATTTCCCAGATACAAATCCCTCGATGGGTAAACTATTTCCCCGAACACAAAGTCGAAATACACGGCTTCTGTGATGCTTTGGAGAAGGCATACTGTGCCATTATCTATGTGCGCACACAAAGCGATACCGCGACCACAAGCCACTTATTAGTAGCAAAAGCAAAGGTGGCTCCTGTAAAAACGCTAAGTCTACCTCGACTTGAGCTCTGTGGCGCGCTACTACTCGCAAAATTAGCTTCTATGGCGCAGACCCATTTAAACATGAAGAAACATAGATTGTATCTCTGGTCCGATTCTGAAATTGTTCTAGCCTGGTTGGAAAAACCACCACATGCATGGAAGACGTACATTGCTAATCGAACGTCTCAAATACTTGACCTAGTGGGATCAGCCACTTGGCGACATGTAGCCAGTGCTGACAATCCTGCTGATCTAGGTACAAGAGGATGCAAACCCCTGCATCTCGCCACCACCACCCTCTGGTGGAATGGCCCCCGATGGTTAACAGAATCTCCCGATTCTTGGCCACAATCGCCCATGCGCAATATAATAGCCCCTGAAAGTCGAAAGATCGACTCCTTTCACACAGCAGTGGAGGATACTGACATCCTTGAGCGATTTTCATCGTTCTCCCGAGCCCTCAGAGTAATCGCCTATATGTTAAAGTTCATAGAGCGACTTAAAATTAAAGTTAAGGGAGTTCCCTCAGAGTACCCCCAATGCGATACATTGACGCACCTGGAATTGCAAAAGGCAAAGGTCGCTCTAATCGCATCAACTCAAACGCGCTACTTCAGCCGCGATATAACACTATTAAGAGAATCAAAACCCATTGACAAAAAGAGTTCACTCTTAATTCTTAACCCATTCCTAGACACGAAAGGTCTGCTTCGTGCGAATGGTCGGCTTGCCAATTCAAGCCTCACGTATAATGAACGCCATCCTCTAATCATACCAGAGAAATCTCGACTTGCCACTTTACTCCTCAATTATATCCACTTACTTATGCTCCACGCAGAACATCGCCTAATGCAACATATAGTCCGCCAAGAGTTCTATATTCCCCGACTTAAGCCCCAAATCAAAAAAATGCATTTTCATGTGCAAGATCTGCACTCTGCATAAGCAGAAGTTGCGAACGCAGATTATGGCAGCACTTCCTCCGGAACGCTGTAACTTCGCTCTGCCTTTCACAGTCACAGGTGTCGATTTTGCTGGGCCTTTTCAAATAAAGGCGTCCATGCTAAGGTCGCCCACCATAATGAAAGGCTATGTGGCTGTCTTTGTCTGTTTTACGACAAAAGCAGTGCACCTCGAGCTATGTACAAGTCTGACTAAGGAGGCTTTTCTCGCGGCATTTGCTCGCTTCGTCGGACGAAGCGGCTTCTCCTCAAAACTAATGAGCGATAACGGCAAAACCTTCATTGGAGCCCAAAGAGCCACTGAAAAACAGTTTGTGGATTTTATTAAACAAGTATCACCTGAAATTGTTCAGAAGTATGCTCCCCAAGGCATTAATTGAATCAGCTGTAAAAAGCTTCAAATCCCACTTCAAAAAAGTAGCTTGAAATTATAAATTGAATTATGAAGAATTCACTACCTTATTAACCCGAATTGAAGCCGTTCTCAATTCACGGCCACTCACAACACTCTCGCAAGATCCCTCCGACTTCACAGCCCTAACTCCAGGTCATTTTTTCAAAGGAGCACCCATTCTGGCCATACCTGAGCCAGGCGTGGGGTCGCTATCCCTATTAAATCGATGGGAAAGAATCAAAATTCTCCATCATGATTTCAGCCGCCGATGGAAGGAAGAGTACATCAAGGACCTTCATAAAAGGTACCGATGGAAAACTCCAGAAAAGGCACCAAAGCTTGGAGACTGTGTTATCATACACGATGATTGTCTACCCCCCACAGAATGGCGGCTTGGCCGCATAGAAAAACTATATTACGGTTCCGACGGTCATATACGAGTAGTTGATCTCCGTACTCAAAGCGGAACGCTGACAAGACCGCTCGTGAAATTATGTTTTCTGCCAACCGTATCTAATGACAAAATCGCAAATAACAACCAATCCGCCGATATTACCGCGACGCAAATGAATTAGTCGTATAAATAACCAATAAACCCGCAAATGACAAAACCGTTATAAACCAACCATTCTAACCGCAATGATCGATCAAAGTGACGATCCATTCCTGCCACATACCGTGGCACATTCGCCATAAATTTACATGCAACAAATGTATAATCATTCCAACTTCTTCATACAGATCAATATGGAAGTAGATATGGCAGCAACACCAACGCCAGCTGTGAGGTCCGCCATCAATGTGCCACGCCCTGGGGCAACTCCAACACCACGAACCGCAGCGGCAATCGTTCCTGCAACCGCTCCCCGTAATGGCGCGCGACCACTGACACCTTCATCAGCCCCGGCAACGGTGCCGCAACGCAGCCGATGCCCACTGTGTCGACGCACACACCGGCTGCAACACTGCAGCATTTTCCGAAGCATGCAGCCACCACAACGTCAGCAGGTTGCCCAAGCGCACGGGCACTGCCTCAACTGTTTGTCTACGGTCCACACGACTCCGGAGTGTACGTCGGTTACGCTCTGCCAACTGTGCCATAGACAGCACCATACTATGCTGCATCGCACCCCAAAGCGGGCCGTCGGGCGACAACTCGCCCCAAGCCGCAGATCGCAGCAGAGCAGCCATCCGGAGCACAACCGAAGACAGGCAGCTCCACCTCCATCCAGACCGAGGCGACAGGAGGCATCAACGCGGCGTCGGCAGCCCAGGCCAACATACCGCCGTTCCACTGGCCTCAGCAGTGTTGTTGCTACGCTGCAGCAACTACAGCGATTGCTAGGCTAGAATTCGCCTAGGGGGGCCGGGATGGCTAGATGAGTTACGCCTCCCCCCTCCATACACGCCACTGCGCGCCAACACACCACATCAACACGATCCACAACAGACATCACACCACTCAGACCACCCACACATACACATCACATCACACCACAACACTACACAACTCAACACTAAAAAGGGGCTAACAGAGGACAAAATCTTTCCCTTTTTCGTTAGCATTTCAAGCGAACAAGACGTGCCACTTTTCCGCCCCTTTTTTGCGTCCGTATATTTTCGACATCAGCCGTGACCGTGTCCGTTTGGTTTTTCTGTTAGGGAACAGTGCCAACAAGTGAAAAAAGGTGAGTGCGTAATCGAATTATTTAGTCGTGAATTCCTCCTTCGCCTCCGTGAAAGATTGCTTGTGCCTGTTATTTGTTGAACTTATTTGTTGTATATACATACAGTGGGTCACAGCTTTTTTGATACAGCAGTCGATATAAATTTCGCATCCCAATATTTTCTAAACTGAAAGGAATATTGAAAAAATTTATCCACTGAATGTTTTCTGTTTAGTCGCGACCGGTATTTATATATTATTTTATTTTTATTATAAATAGTTTCGCACCCGCTTTATGGATTTGGGTTTTGTTTTCCTTTTAGTGAAAATGTTTTCACCTTTTGGTATTTTGTTTAGCCCGCACTTATTCTATGTATGTATACATATGTATGTTTAAATTTCTTTTCTTTTTCATATATTTATTTGTATCTTTTCATTTTTATTTGTCACTACATTGCACTTTTAGGAAACTGCACTGTTTTATTTGTCAGTTTAGTTAATTTTATGTTAAAACCAAAGGTGCCCAGGCCACCAAGGGCTACAGCTTGGCGAACTGTAGACGGCCTACAATCTTAGGTTAGCTGTGAATATCCAATAAGCAGCCATTGACCAAGAGCGACAGTAGAGGAGGGTTCGGCCTAAAAGACCAGAAACATCCTACGAAACTCCGGTGGCGAGGCGAATAGATGCCGCCTCGGTATAAGCATCCACAGCCCCTAAGGGGTCTCGAGGCAACCGCTACCTACCGATGAGAGGAAGGTGACAGAGCGACGCGAGACGGCACATCAAAAAAAAAAATCCCCAATGTATGCACGTGCACAACTGCACGGAAAAACCACCACGGGCTCGCGCCCATCAGGGTCGAGACCAGTAAGATCCTGATTAAGGCATACTGGAAAAAAACTGATAGGACAAAATTGTTTTCGGGCTGGTGAGAGTGATATCCTACCACTTCAGTAAGCAAGGGTGACACCTTGCTGAAATGGCTGGTAGGCTAATATCACAATCGCCTCCGTCTCGTTAAAACCCAGGCAGAGTACGTTCAAAGCACGTCCCCATTAAATTGGTCGTACAGGCTCAGTTGAGAGAACTCCTGACTAGCGTCCGGCTGACTCTAAACACAATCTCTCATGAGAACTTGTGCCAACCCTCACATGACCTACCGTAAGTGTAGACAAGCACGGCGAAGACTCAATTGAACAGGAACATTCAAAACAAAAATCAAAACAAGAAAAACGACAACAGCGAAAGAAAATCACAACAAGAGAAACAGAACAACAGAAACAATGAATACAACAATGCTTTTACCAATGCCTACTGCTTCTGCGATCGCCAGTGACCCAAAAGAGCGCGAATACCAGCCAAAAACACTTGGTACCGACCGAGTCTACAACGACGATTTCAGCTGCAATCCTGGAAAGACCAATGACGGAACACAACACTCCAACATCGGCAAAAATAACCTATACCCCACAAAAGTCCCCGAGAGGGAGTTCGTGCACAAAATTCGACTTGCAGAAAAAGAGTCCCTCGAAAAGTGTAGAGCCATTGTTCAAAAAATGAAGCAGGCAATGGCTAAAGAGAAGAACGTCAGTCTCGACGTAAAAAACGGAGCAGCTCAGCTGGAAGAGCGTTTCGACATCATTAAAAGAGATAGAAGGAGCTGGATGATGTCAGAGAAGAAACCGCAGCCTTTAGCCGAAACTAATAATCAACCAAGGACAACGCCCCAGGCTACCACATCCAAACGACGGGCCACCAGCCCTGCAGAAACACGCACCGCTACACGTCCCCGAAAGGAAGAAGCCGAGCAGTGGAAAACAGTGATGCCGAAGAAGCCAAGGAAACTCGACGAGCGTCATAAATCAACAAAGGTCTCCACAAAAACTGGCAGCTCAGGAAAGCCAATAGAAAAGGCCAACGCCAAAATCAGGCGAAAAATACTCTCGGAAGCCGTCATTATTAATCCAACAAAAGGAAACAGCTACGCAGATGCCCTCAGGGATATCAAAAAGAACTTAAAGCCCGACGAAACAGCAGTCAAAATAAAAGGAATACGAAAAACTAGAGCAGGAGCACTTTTACTAGAGCTAGAAAAAGGCCAGGTGGCAAGCCCGAATTTCTTCGAATCTCTAAAGAGTACATTAAAAGAGAGCCCATCAGTAGCCGACCTTAAACCAAAGACCACAGTGGAGATTGGAGACCTGGATTCCCTAACGACAGAGGAAGAAGTGATCGAAGCAATAGAGAGCGCTCTTGGAGAACCAGTGCCTGACCCGAAAATAAACATATCTCCACCCAACAGTAGAGAGCAGGTCAGAGCATATATTAAATTACCAAGTGCTAAAGCAGATACATTGCTAAGACAAATTTGCATTGATCAGCTGCAGACTAGGACTTAAATCTTTTAATAGATGTTTCCGTTGCTTCGAACGAGGACACCTTGTTTATGATTGCAAGGAATCAGACAGAAGAGAGCAAGCTATTTGTATTAAATACGGCCAACCGGCACACAGACTTAAGGAGTACAACAAGCTTTTAACCTGCTGCATATGCACAGAGGCCAAACATATACGAACGGATCAAATAAATGCACAGTATTTAAAGACTTCGTAGACAAATTAAAGTTCTCCAAGCCAACACGCACAGAAGTAAAAATGCATACGCACTCCTGACTCAAATGACAACGTAGCGCCATTATGACGTTGTCATTATAAGCGAGAAGTACAAAAGGAAACAGAATGGAATATAGATAGAAGTCGACAGTGGCACTGCCGCGACCTAGCTTTCCCCCAGTAGCAAAATAGCCACGCCAAGTAGAGGAATTGAGCACGGTTTCGTCTGGACCAAATGCGATCTCTGTAGCTGCTTCTTAACCCCTAGCGATAATATTCATGACTTCCAAGCCAAATTAGACAGCATGGAAGACACAGAACGAGATATTGGAGGATTCACGAGACTCAAAAGCTATTGAATGGGGAATTCGAAATACTGACTCCAGAAGTAAACGTATACTTGACATGGCTGCCGGCCTCGGCGTTATGGTACTCAACACGGGAGCAGCAACGACATTTAGGAGACCAGGCATCGAGGAAACTGCACCAGATATCCAGGATATGGAGGATTACACTGGTAGTGACCACCAGTACATAACCTTCGAAATAGACCCCCAAAACGCAGTCACCCAGAATAGATTACACGGTATCACGAAAAACTAGAATGTATCTAAACTTAATAGCGAGGCACTTATCTCAGAAATTGATAAGCATGAGCTCCCAAAAAACGACATATGGGATTCAAGAGAAAACGTCAAGAAAACAATGAGGCGAATCACCCAAGTATGTAGTGAAGGAATGCCTCGGACCCAAAGCAGGAGACAAAAATGGGTTGCATACTGGTGGACAGTGAACATTGCTCAGTTAAAAACACGCTCCTGTTTACTTAAGACGGATCTACACAAGAAACAGACGTAGAAGTAACGCAACAACAGAAATGTATAATATTCACGCCGCGTAGAAAGAACTAAAGCGGGCTTTCGAAATTAGCAAAAGAGGAAAATGGAAAGAGCTTCGGAATGACTTAAACATAAACCCGTGGGGTCTAGGGTATAAGGTAATTATAAAAACCATCAGCATACCGACCTCTTTGCATGCTTGACACAGCCGATAAGCTTCTCGAGAGAATGCTGAAACCGCGAATAGAAGAAGCAATCACGACAGCAGGTGGCTTATCACCGAAGCAATACGATTTTAGACCTGGTAAATAAACGCTGGGGGCTATTGAGAAGGTCGTGAGGAGCGTAGAAGAAGCGCACAGAGGATGCAATAAACTCAGACGAGTTGTTTTACTCGGCACCCTTGAAGTTCGGAACACCTGCAACAGCGCTCGATGAGAAAACATGATTGAAGCATTATAGGAAAACCTTCAAATACCCACATTTCTCAGCATAATGATGAGGAGCTATTTGGGAGACAGAGTTTTGCTGTATAAAACCTCTGAAAGACCACGACACTTGAAGGTCACGTCCGGAGCTGCGCAGGGATCATATCTTGTTGGCTACGCAGATGACATCGCCGCGATAATAACTGCGAGAGACCCCGAAGATGCGCGCAGGAAGTTAAACCAGGTGATGATCAGAGCACAAATGTGGCTTGATGCGAAAGGTCTCAAACTTGCCACTGAAAAACCGAGCTGGTACTGCTAACAAAGAAGCATATTTCGACTCTAGTAGACATGAGGACAACAACAGAAACATTAAGGACACAAAAGGTTATCAACTACCTGGGGTAAAAATAGTTTCCAGGCTTACCTACTGGGCACAAATTCAAGACGCTGCGAAAAAAGCGTCCATAATAACTAGCCAACTGAGCAGGCTGATGTCTAATATCGGAGCACCGAGATAGGATAAACGGAACGGCTTTTGATGTCGACAACACTAAATGTCTTGCTCTACGAAACATAGTTATGGGCAGACACATTAAGCAAAAATAATCGACGCAAATCCCTCGAAAAATTGTGTCGTACAGCTGCTCTAAGAGTAGCATCGGCATACCATACAGCCTCGGGCGAAGCTGTATATGTAATAAGCGGAAACACACCCATCGAATTATTAGCATTTGAACGAAAGGAAATGTGGACGTTGAAGAAACAAGGAACAGATGCTGCCGCTACAAAAGAGGAAATA